GAGGTTTCACATGACTTTCAGGAAGCAGAAAAGCAGTTGGAATTGGATTCCAAACCTGGCGGTGAGTGTATATATAGACCAAGTTTAGAGATTATGAACTAAAAGAAAACTCTAAAGGGCACATCTCCTTTGTTGCAGATGGTTTCATTGCAAAGATGAGCAGGTCAGTTCCAAGTTCTTGGTGATCTGCAATTTTGAAGCTGTTTCAGATTATGTCTTATTGAATTTGTGAACAACTCTGTCCAGGTACCTATATCACACAACATTTACTGGAAGGAGTTATCGATGCTTGTGTATGTCTCGGTGGCTTTTCTTATTTTTCACGTTGTTAAGGTAAGTTATTTTACTATGTAGTTCTGCATAACTAAATAAGCTTTTCAACAGATAAGATCATCACTAGAATGTAGTCAAGTTCGATCTTTCTAATTCCTTTGCATTTGCAGGGGATGCACTATTGCTTTGAATTTTGTTACTGAATGAATCTATCTGAATCTTTATGCAGACATCAATAGCAATGTAGTCAAGTTCGATCTGTTAGGTTTGCTATGGTCACACATCACAACAAAAGCATGATTACTCTTTTTTTTTTTTTTTTTTTTTTTTATACCTGAGATGAAACAGAACAGGTCAAGTATCTCCAGTAGATTATACCAATACTCCAGCTTGTCCCCGAGAAAAAACATCGTGTCGTCGGCAAACTGGAGGTGAGAAACTTCCACCATGTCATGGCCAACAACAAGGCCGTGAAACACATCCAAATCCTGAGCTTTCTCAAGAATGCGGCTAAGAACATCAATCACCAGAATGAAAAGAAAGGGAGAAAGAGGGTCACCTTGTCTCAATCCTCTAGAGGCCTTAAACTTACCTCTAGGTCTGCCGTTGATCATAACAGAAAAATTTGCCGAGTCAAGACAACCTCTAATCCAACTTCTCCACCTTTCCCCGAACCCTTTTCTAAGCATTACATCATCTACAAAATGCCACTCCACATGATCATAAGCCTTTTCGAAATCGATTTTGAAAGCCAAGCCAACTTTCTTACGTTTCCTGCTCTCCTCCACTAACTCATTAGCAATCAAAGCAGCGTCCAAAATTTGCCTATCTCTCACAAAGGCTCCCTGGGAAGAGGAGATGGTGCTCCCCATCACCTCCCTCAATCTCGAGGCTAAAACTTTAGAAATCACCTTATACAAACTTGTCACAAGACTAATAGGCCGAAAATCACTCACTTTTACAGACTCTTTTTTCTTAGGGATAAGGCAAATAAACGTTTCGTTTGTGACCGCGTTGATAATGCCGTTGTGGTAGAACTCCTCCAGAGTCTTTAAGAGATCCAATTTCACAGTATCCCAACAAGATTGGAAGAGAGACATGGAGAAACCATCAGGCCCTGGAGATTTATCTCTCCCACAATCAAAGACAGCCCTTTTGACCTCCTCTTCTTCAAAAGGTCTCTCAAGCCTTGCAGCCTCAACAAGACTAATACGATTCCAGTTAAGACCCTCCAAGCCCCAACCAGCCTCTTCATTACTCCTGTAAAGAGTTTTGAAGAAAGTAATAACTTCAGCCTCAATCTCGTCTTCATTGACAATCGTCCCTAATCCCTCCACCTCCAGCCTCTCAATGAGATTCCTCTTTCGCCTACCATTGGCTACACGGTGGAAAAACTTTGTGTTCCCATCCCCATCTCTAGCCCACTCCACTTTACCCCTTTGTCTCCATTTTATCTCTTCTTTAAGGACCAAATCACCAATCAAGAGAATAAGATCAGCCCTTTCCTTTATTTTGTCACTATCCAGCCCGTGCAAGCCTTCAAGCCTATCAATTTCAACAATACGAGCTTCTGCCAATTTCTTGGTAGCAGCCACATCGCCGAACACCTCTTTGCTCCAGACTCTCAGTTTCCCCTTTACGGCTTTCAACCTCCTCATGAAATTAAAACCCGGCCACCCAATCAGATGCTCTTCCGCCCACCAATCCTTAAAGTTCCTGTTAAAGTCCGGATGTTCCAGCCACATGTTTTCGAATCGGAAAGGGCCCGGACCCCATTTCAGCTTTGAGGTATCCAACTCAATAGGACAATGATCAGAAGTGACCCGGACCAACGCCTTCTGTCTAAAATTTGGAAAACAGTCTTCCCAACCTCCGGTGAATAGAAAGCGATCAAGTCTTCTACACACCACGTTTTCTCTACCGTTAGACCAGGTAAACGAAGCATTAAGGAGACGGGGATCCCGCAGGTTTGTGTCATTAATGAAGTTATTGAAGGTCCTCATGCTGCTAGTCACCCCGCCCCCATTAGACTTATCAGAAACAAACCTGACTACATTAAAGTCCCCTCCAATGCACCAGTTTTCACCACACAACCCATAGAGAGCAGCAAGCTCTACCCAAAAACGACCTCTGTCCCTTTGGCGGCAAGGACCGTAAATACCAGAAAGCCACCAATCTGCCCCCGAGGTACCTCTAATTTTAATGGACACCGAAAATTCTGCGATTTCAGAATCGATTACCGAGACGAACTGCGTATTCCAGATAATCACAATACCCCCAGACCTGCCAGTCGAAGGAACAAACACCCAATCCCTGAATCTAGAGCACCACACGCTGGCCACTAGTCTCCTGTCAATTTCTTGTTTCTTAGGCCGGACATTGTAATATTACAATGATTACTCATATGAATGCCCTAAGAACCATGAAATGAAATTATAAAGCTGATTATGGGTGCACTTGGATTGAAATTAAGCTTTAGAATCGTTTTCCTAAGCTTTAGAATTGGTTTTTCTAATTTATTTATAATAAAAAATAGTATCGCCGAGCGGCTATACTTGATTTTTCAAATTTATTTAAAATAAATTGTATAGCCGGGCGGATATACTCCGTTTTTCTATTGGTTTTTTAAATTTTAAAAAAAGAACGTGTCAAGACAATTCTACTTTTAAAAAAAAATTAAAAACAGAGTATAGCCGGGCGGCGGTACTATGTTTTTTTTTATATAAAAAAGGACCCTCCAGCGATTAGACGCCACGTGTGACTATACTATTTTTGAAAACAAAATCGTAGTATAGACGCACGGCTACACTATACTATTTAATATATAAATTAAAAAAAGAAAAAAGGACCCTCCAAGTTTCATTAGTTTGTACTTTATAGATATTAATTTGCTAGTTTCACACTCTCAACGACAGAATTTCGACTGACTTTCTCATTTAAACCCATAAACTCCCACGATCTTGTTGTCTGAAGTTGGAAGGTTCTGCTTGGAAAGACAGAGACTACTTCCTTCCTCTCTGCAATACACAGTTTATTATAAACATTATAAACTCTCAAACCAAACCATACTAATCCTTTTATTAATGGAATAAGAAAGTATCTCAGTGAGGTCACTTGCAAGTTTCTCTCTTTCCTGGACAGTGAGTTTGGCAGCAAATCCATTGAAACTCCTTTTGTAACTTCTTACCAATAAATTTTCAGGAGAACTGAGAGAGAGAGAGAGAGAGAGAGAGAGAGAGAGAGAGAGAGAGAGAGAGAGATTGTGACTAAAAGGCCCAAAATGTAAAATAAGCTTAAGGATCCAGATATGCTTACCTTCCCTGAACAACACTCTGTAGAATGTTAAGGTGGTGAGCCATAGGAGAGTACTCCCCATCAAGAAGAGACCCCAAGTACACAATATGAACCTGCATTGTAATTAGTAATCATCAAGTAAAAAAGAAGACTTGTTTTGCTACACAAATGACTCTTACCTTTCTATCCTTATCAGTGGCCTTGCATAAAAAGCTCATGGTGAGTATGAAAATGGAGAAAGCATTATAAACCAGAAAAGCTCCATACTTAGCCATTGTTCAAATTGTTCAATGCTCAAAAACTTCATGGCTGAAGTGCACTTTATATACTGGGACTAATTTAATGCATCCAGATTTTCTCACTCCTAAAAGGCAGTTGCAATCAGATTGGGATTTGCATTAAATTCAGACACCAGATAATTTAAAGTTTGTTGCAAATGAAAGACATGCAGAGAGGGATTCAGTAGTGGCAATCAACCAGCAATTAATTATTATGTCAAAACCATTATCATGCAGAGGGTGCTCTAACAATACTTGGCTTTGCTTTGCAATTAGAAAGCATGGGAATTTCATGTATGGATATAGCAGGTCAAACCCAGCTATCACCAAAATGGTAATGTTCAAGTACACAGTCTTCTTTTAAAGTTGCTGCAAAATCCTGGATTTGGCTAATCTGGAATACAAGGGTCAACCATTATCATCTGCTCTAACACTTGCTTCTAACACTTGGCTTGGCTTTGCTACAAGATATTGACGTTTTTGGTAACAATTAACATCCTCGTGACGAACTGCTAATTTAGAAAATTTTATTGTCAAAATATTTATTGAAATCGTATTATAAAATATGAGAAATATGAACATTAGTTTGATTTGGCATGGTACTATCTCAATTACCCAATAGAAACATATATTTGTGTGAAGTCATCTTGTAAAATAGTTATTGAAAATTGTATTAAAGAAAGAAAAAAAGAGGAGCACACTTTTTATTAATGAAAAACTCACTTAATTGAGGTTATTAAATTGAAAGCTGAATTTATATATTAAAGAGAAACGCATGAATACATGTTAAAATATTTTCTTTTTTAGTACAAAAGATTAAGAGAGGGGTGAGCTCAATCAACTGAGCTATACCCCACTGACAAAATACTTCTTTTAAATCAAACGTATGGATAAATTATATTTCAACACCATGGCTATTGTAATCATTTGACATAAGAAAAAGACACTGATTTTTACAAATTATCATTACAACACACTGATTTTTCAAGGCATCACCAAAACACCAAATTCACTCTAAATAAAGTATATGTGGGATGTTATATCTCCAAGAATATCACTAACGAGAGGTCACTGTACTTATCCCCTTGCCTTGCCAACAAGCACAACTAACTTACATCAGCTCTGAGAATAGAGTACACATTGAAAACAACTTGTAAAAACTATTCTACTTATGGTGATGATTCTGAGACTAATCATTAATGTCTCGAAAGTAATCTTACAATATCTTATAAGTTATAACTGCATGAATTTGACTACAATAATCTTATATATATATACTACATTGCAGTCTGGGAGAGAATTCCAGTGCTTGACACCAACGTAGATTTCCTATGCTTTTCACGCCCTCTCAGGTAACGATCACATCCCCGCACATCCTCCTGGGCAATCACTAGAGGTATCCAATTACAAGGACAGAAACTTGATTTAAACCAAGTTAAACTGAAAACTAATGCATGTGTATCTCAGGAAGTGATTCCAAAAAAATTTCTTACATGTTAAATAGGACTTGGTCACCCAAGAGAGATGGCATGCTCATGTATGGAGATAATTGGCTGCCATCATCAACTCCAGAACCAATTCAGGTTCAATATGAAACTCGGTCTGCTTCCCACTGTCAAAAGAGCAACATGACAAGTCAATAATAGGGAAAAGGAGAGTCGATGAAAACCAGCCTTCTGACCACGCTCTCAAATTTGGTCAATTCAACTTTCCACCATTATCTTGGTAAGAATCCAGCAATTGAAATTGGTGCAAGAGACGATACGCAGAACATTCTAATTATCCCGTCTCCAAGTCCATCAGTAAACAATCAAAATCATTAAATAGACCTATAAAGCACTCAAAAACTTCGCTAACAATATAACATGTCAGACTGAGGATCCTAGAGTCTCTAGCAGCCTAACATGCAAACTCTAGCAACCTATTATGCAAGACTGACTATTTTGAGGGGCCACTGATCCCAGCATAATTCTTAATGTTAACCATTGATTAGGCGAATTTTTGTTTGAATGGGCGGTCTAGAAAGGCAGTTTGGAGAGCAAAATCTCCACTAACTTATTCATTGTTCAATATAAATTTCAATTCAGAAACCCATCAATCTTCTAAGCATTAGCATGGATGCTGCAAAAATAATTATAAGCAGAATAGGGGGGAAAAGCAGAATAGCCGCACGGCTATACTATTTTACAAAGCCTTTAAGTAGCATAATATATATTTCACTTTTTTAATTACTTTGATTAGTAATTACGTTTTAGTTATTATTTACTCAGTGAATATTAAAGGAAAAAAATAAAAATAAAAATTGAATTACTATTTATTAAGTAATATAATTCATGAAGTTAATTAAAATATTTAATACTAATTATTCATTAAATAAATAATAATTAAAATATAATTACTAATTTAACTAATTAAATCAGTCAAATATATTATTTAATTACTAAACATAAAATTTAAAAAAATTAATTAACCTAAACATCCTAAGTTTATATTTATTTTTTTTAAAAGACCTCTCCCGACAAAATTTCGTCGGCCGAGGTTCTTTTGTCGGGAGAAACCTAATCCGACAAACATTTGCCGGCATAGACCTATGCCGACGAAATTTCGTCGGGAGAAGTGTTTATGTTATTTTTTTTTATTTTTTTTTATAAAAATATAAAATTAGTTTCATTACTTTTGTTTTTTTCCCAACTTCTTTAATTTAATTAATATCTTATAGTCTTTTATACATATATATATATATATAAGTATATATGTATGTATGTATTTTTCAATAATACATTCGCATTCTATACATGTCTGCTAATTTTTAAAAAGCAAATGTACAATAGTCGTATTGTACATGTACATACGCATTTCTAATGCTTAATACCCACATTTTTTACTATCTTATCCTTTTTAATTTAAATTCTTCTGTGCAAAAACAAAAAAATAATAATAATTTATTTTCGTTTGGGTGTCTTAATTAAACTTCCCAAGAGCCCAAGAGTGGCTATAGTCCTTTGTATATATATACGTACGTATTTTTCAATAATACATTCGTATTCTATACACGTCTATTATTTTTTAAGTCGTATTATACATGTACATACGTATTTCTAATGCTTAATACACATATTTTTTACAAAAATTTCAGTAATTCACACAAAGTTCACGTATTATACAAATAATTCTCACATATTATTGAATACGAATAATATATGTTATAAAAGTTATACTAAAATATTATATAATGGCTTATTAATATCTACTTTGGATATGTTGAAACTAGCAAATTAATCTATATATATAGAGCAAAAGGCAAAGAATGGTGAAACATTCAAAATACCAGAAAATGCCCTTGGTTAATGCAAACATTAAGAATTGAAATTATTAATTAAATAAGGATAATATGGTAAATTCACACTTTTCATATTAAAAGAAAAATTAGATAATAGATCGTATTTTTATGGAACACAACTACCCATTATCTTTTTTAATTCTAAAATAAATTTAAATTTTTTTAAAAAAAAGCCTCTCGCATGCGCAGAAGCGCGGGCGGAGAGTCTAGTATCTATAAAGTACAAATATCATGAAACTTGGAGGGTCCTCTTTTCTTTTTTTTAATTTATATATTAAATAGTATAGATAGACCTTTTAGAATCCATATGACTGGGGTCCTCTTTTTTTTTAATATAAAATAGTACAGCCGCGCGGTGGTACTCAGTTTTTTTAATGTTTTTTAAAAAAAGTGTAGCCGCACGGCTATACTATTGTACAAAGCCTTTAAGTAGCATAATATGTATTTCTCTTTTTTAATTACTTTGATTAGTAATTATGTTTTAGTTATTATTTACTCAGTGAATAATTAAAATATAATTACTAATTTAACTAATTAAATCAGTCAAATATATTATTTAATTACTAAAAATAAAATTTTAAAAAATTAATTAACCTAAACATCCTAAGTTTATATTTATTTATTTTAATTAAACTTCCCCAGAGCCCAAGAGCCCCAAGGCCCAAATCCCAAGTCTTTGATTAATTTAATTATTATTAATGGAAGCCAAATCCAAAACCAAGCCCGTTAGCCCAACTCTCCAATGTTAACCACACTTACTAAATCATCATTGTGCTTTGTTTATAAACACCTTAATAGGAGTGTGAATTTTCAATGTGGATTTTCTAATATTTTTCACTCTTCTTCATAGTGTTACCAACCCCATGCCTGAATTTCTTTAGAAGAAATAGTATAGCCGATCGGCTATACTGGGGTTTTCTAATTTTTCAAAAAAAAAATAGTATAGCCGGACGGCTATACTCTGTATATATATAGAAAGAGCCGAGTAAAGGCGCTCGGCTTTACTATTTCTATATTTTTTTTAAAATTAAAAAACCAAGTATAGCTGGGCGGCGATACTATTTCTTTTAAAAATTGGAAAAAAAACCCAATATAGCCGTGCGCTGTACTATTTCTTTAAAAACTATTTCTTTTAAAAACAAATTAGAAAAAACCCAGTGCTATACTATTTCTTTATATAAAAAATGGAAAAACCGAATATAGCAGTGCGGCAATACTATTTTTTTTATTAAAAAAAAAAAACCATGATTACTCATATGAATGCCCTAAGAACCATGAAATGAAATTACAGAGCTGATTATGGGTGCACTTGGATTGAAATTAAGCTTTAGAATCGGTTTTTCCTTTTTTATTCTTTTTTTTAAGAAATTGTATAGCCAAACGGCTATACTCCGTTTTCTATTGGTTTTTTAAATTTTTTAAAAAGAAATAGTATAGCCGGTCGGCTATACGCGTTTTTTAAATTGTTTTTTAAAGAAAACGTATAGCCGTTGGGCTATACTCCGTTTTTCTTTTCTGTTTTTGGTAGATGAAATGGTATAGCAGCGCGGCTACACTTGGTTTTTCCAAAAAAAAAAAAAAAAGGTAAGCGCAGCATTGGGGGAGTCAAACACAAAATAAACAAAAAAGGAATGTTAAAAGTTAAAACGTCCGTTTAACTTAAAACCAATGTTCAAAGAAACCAAAACCTCAAAACGACGTTGTTTTGAAGAAAACCTATTAAAAAAAAAATTCACGCAACTTCATCTCATCTCTCATCTCTCCGCCTCCATCACCTCCCATCTCTCTCTACCTCCATCCTCTCTTCTTGTGCACCCTTGAAATAAGGTGAGACCAGCAGCAGCTACAAATAAAAGAAGAAAAATTCAACGATACCTCTGACGAGTAGAGAAGAAGCCGTCGCCGCCACTGGTTGGGTCGAGAAGAGTAGAGAAGCAGCCACCCGACCCGCCCAGGCTCCGCCTAACTCCCTGGCGCCTACCCCTAACGTTTAGGGTGAACTCTCGGCGGTGTTCAAAATAATACTCAACAATCATTTGATATTAATTTGTCCTTACCAGCCCTTACATGTCATATGAATCATCGGATTTTTGACTGGCATGGCCTAATGCCCAAAGCACATGTGATAATAAGAGTAGAACGGAATTGTTTCTGTTCTTAATATGGAGGAGACATAAAGCCAAGGCAGAACCAAGCTGGTGGGTGTTGAGTTTTCTGCATATTTTTAACATAAAGCCAACTCACACAATTGCAAGAGTAACAACACCCTATGTATGAGCCCTAATCATACCAAGAGTGTGTTATATTTAATCTAGAAAGAATGGCTTCAAAGGAAAAACACATCAGTTGGCCAGACTTACAGTAAAAGGGGAGTGAAGTGAAGACAAGTGAAAGAGAATGGGGCATCAAGCTAACAACACCCTTCATGACATGGAGTGTCTCATCTCGCATTGCATGAGAGAAAAAATTATAGACAGAGACAGAGCACATAGATGCAATGCAGCCACACCATGCATCTAGTGGTCCAGCTTCATTGCCAGATGAGCAGGTAAGTTCCAAGAATATCAGAACATTCAAAGCCTGTATTCTTTTGCAACTTCTTTGTTATCTGCAATTTTTAAGTGGTTTCAGTTTTTGTTTTATTGATATATATATGATGAACAACTCTATCTTGGTGCCTATATCACACAACTTTTACTGGAAGGAGTTATTGATGCTTGTGTATGTCTGGGTGGCTTTTCTTATTGTTCAGATTGTTAAGGTAAGTTATTTTGCTCTGTAGTTCTGTACAACTAAAGAAGCTTTTCTAGGAACTCATCTATTCGCATACCAGACCTTAAAATGCTCTCCAAAAGATATGATCATCACTAGCAAAAAAACCAATCGCGAGACTAAACCAAAAAAACCATACCAGACGCGAGACTAAACCAAAAAAACCAATCGCAATCAATCACTAACCTGAGAAGAAGATTTCATGATCTTCCCTCTCTTGGAAAATTCCAAAACAACTCCATGAAATTAGCGTTAATTAATCATGATAGCGACGGGTCTGTATACCATTGGCAAGGACAATGTCTCTATAAAAGAAGACATTTTCTGATTACCAAAAAAAAGAAGACAGTAGAATGAAATTCTATCTGGTCTTAATATGGAAATGAGACAAAAGGCTATGGCAGATTACCTTTAAAAAAGAATGAAATTGATCAGTCAAACAGGACAAGTATCCTTGGACACACCAAATGCAATTCAATTTGTGCTCTCGGTGTGCAGAATGTTGCTTAAATGCACAAAAAGGCAATGTGGGAAAAGGAGAAAATGAAGCTCACTTTTATAATATGCATTCCCAACAGCACATCCTTCCTCCCAATTTAAGTTTTGAATTTGAAG